CGACAAGAGAGCGTGGAGAGGCTGTTTGGAAATGCATAATATTGCACCTCTAGCCAAAGTGCAGCAGGGTCTCCAGCAGGTACGTTTTTGTGGCTTGGACCCCGGCGGCAGCAGCAGCAGAGGCGCTCTTCCAGAGGAGGGGGAGCCTCTGTGGAGGCAAACAGCTTCTGTTCAGCGCAGCAGCAGCGGCCTGGTGGCGGCCTTTCCGGAGTGGGGCTTCCCTGGGCAGGGAACGGGTGGGGATTCCACATCTGGAGACATCCTCCCTCCCCCAGTGTCTTATGTGCGTCACGTGCCCCTGCCAAGTTGTTTCCAGCTTAGGGTGACCCTTTGAATGAAGGACCTCCGGAATGTCCCACTTGTAGCAGCCGTGCTCGGGTCTTGCAAGCGCAGGGCCTGCGGCATCCACCTCCTCCCGCCTCGTGCCAGGATCTAGTCCAGGAGAGGTGCCAAAGGAGGCTTTCTACAGGTGTGACTGGATGGAACTGACAGAGAATTCACTATTTACTGTGCTCCTACCCCACCTTTCTCCCCAGCAGCTTCCATCATTCTCCCTGCTGTCATTTCATTCTGACAACAACCCTGTCAGGTAGACTAGACAAAGAAAGCGAGTGACTGACCTAAGACCCCCCAGTGACCGCCCACGACAGGGGGAGGGGGGATTTTGGACCCAGGCCTCCCAGGTCCTACTCTCTCACCACCTGGCAGGCTCCCTATTGGGCCCAGGAGACGTTTCCGTGGATTGCAATTTCCTTGCCTCCTGCTGGAGCCCAAAATGTCTGCCTGGAGCGGCTGTGAAGGGGGGGGTGGGGGGCTGGAAGTCTGCTGCAGGAGAGGAGTGGATGACACCCCCCCCCGGTTTGTCCTCGGATCAAGCCCCCTTTCCCCAGAGCTCCATAGTCTTGAGAGGTGGTGCCTTGAGCAAGGGCTGGTGCTCCGGCCACCTGGAGGGTCCTCTGCTGCCTTCAGCCGAGGCCGAGCCTCTGTCTGCGGTGTGTTCTCCCTCTGGCTAGGTTCGGGGACGGGAAGAGGGGGGCATGTTCTGAGGCAGAAGCACCCTGACCGTTGGGACGGTCTCTTCCTCTGAATGTCTCCTCCTGGCGGTGCTCTCCAGAGACGGTGTGTGGGGGGGGC